AGGAGAGCTAAACCAAAACATAACGGAGGCATGTGAAAGCAACAAAGGTGTAAGTCTGAAAGAGCTCCCAGTGGCCAAGCATACAAAAATGTGAGTAACAAAAAAAAAAAAGGTTTCCAGGCAGTGCCCTAAATTTGATCTTTGCTTGGAAGCTGTTTCTTAATTTTAGCATATCCTGCTTGTCTTGGTGAAGCTGAGAATCTCCAAAACCATTAAGTCCTGGCTTCTTTTTGTTTAACAGCCTTTCCTATAGTTTACATCTTTCACATTTTACTATAAGCAGCAAGAGGCCAGGTGGCACCTTGAACATTGTTTGAAAATCTTCTTAGTGAGATCCTATCGGGCACGTTTTACCTTCCACACCACTGAAGGTGACAGTGCGCTCAATGGTCTGCCACTACAGTACAGGGATCCTTCGTCCTCCAGTTTGCAATAACACTGACTTTCCTTTTCTGCAAGTCCTCATTTGCAGCCTTGTCAAAGACCATGCACCTTCTCTATTAGTAGTTTCTTTAAAGCACTTTAGGTTTTACTAGCACACACTGCCAACTGCCCAGTTCCCAAACCACTCCCACATTGTAGGTGTTCATTACAGCGCCCCCACTCCAAATATCAAAATCTGCATTAGTTACCTGTTGCTGCATATCAAATAACCCAACTTAGCAGGTCAAAACAGCCAACATTCACTAACACTTTCTGGAGGTAGGAGTCCAGGAGTGGTTTAGCTGGGTGTTCCTGGCTCAGTGTCTCACATGCAGTTACTGTTGGCTGTGACTGCAGTCTTACTTGAGGGCTTAAGTGAGGGAGGATCCACTTCCACACTCACTCACATGGTTGTTGGAAGGCCACAGTTCCTTGTTGGCTGTTGCCCAGAGGCTTCAGTTCCTAACCACATGAAACTCTCCCTAGACTATCTTAGTGTCCTCACAATATGGCAACTGGCTTCCTAAAGGACAATGATCCAAGAGAGTACATGCCCAATACAGAAGCCACAGTCTTTTTATAACCAAATATTTTAAGTGACATACCATTACTTCCACCATATTCTATTCATTAGAAATGAGTCACCAAGTCTAGTCCACATTCAAGGGCAGGATAGTTAAGTTTCATCTCTTGGAGGGAAGCCTATCAAAGAATTTCAGGATATAATTTTAAAATGGACTCTTTCTGTTCCAGTAACCTGCATGTCCACCCCTTCACCAATATCAGTGTCTTTATTACTGTATCTTTATAATGAGACAAAGTTGAGTAGTTCGAGTCCTCCAACTTTATTTTTTCAAAATTGTTTTGGCTACTCTACTTCCTTTGCCTTTCCACGTAAATTTGAGAATCAGCCTGTCTATATCTACAAAAGCATCCTACTAAAATTTTTATTGGAATTGTGTTAAATCTGAAGATTAAATTGATGAGAACTGAAACATGGTATGTCTATTTAGCTCTTCTTTGATGTCATTCATCAACATTTTGTAGTTTTCTGATTCACTCAAGTTTGTAGTAGCATGGAGATCCTGTACACGTTTGCTGGATTTATATCTACGTATTTCTTTCCTCTTTTTCTTTTCTTTTGGAGTTACTGCAAATGGAATTTATTTAAATTTATTTTCTAATTGTTCATTGCTAGTACATAGATACATAGATTAATTTTTGCATGTTAACCTAGTATCTCATGACCTTGCTGAACTCATTAGTTCTAAGAGCTTTTTTGTTGATTCCTTGGGATTTTCTAAGTGGACAATCATGTCATCTTTGAATAAGAGATCATTTTATTTCTCCCTTTATAAACTGAATGCCTTTTCTTTCTTTTTTTGCCTGATTACATTAGCAAGGACTTTCAGTAGGAGGTTGAATAGGAGTGTTCAGAGTGGACATCATGACTTGTTCCTGATCTTATCATTCAGTTGATCACCATTAAGTATGAAGTTATGAGTTTTTGGTATATGCCTTTTATTAGGTTAATTTCTCTTTTATTTCTAATTTTCTGAGTTTTGAATCATGAGTGGGTATTTAATCTTGTCAATATTTTTTTCTGCATCAACTGATGTGATCATTTATTTTTTTCTTTCTTGTTTAGTTTGGATAATATGTGTCAATCTATCTTTAACTTTACTGACTCTTCTGTCATCTCTATTCTGCTACTGAGTCCTCCCAATGGTTTTTTGGTTAATTTTGTTATTGTATTTTTCAGTTCTAAAACTTCCATTTGGTTCCTTTTTATATATTATCTATTTTCCTGAAGAGAATTTTTAAGTTTCCACTAAAAAATGGTCACACTTTTTGAAACAATGTTGTAATATCTACTTTATAATTCCAACATCTGTGTCATCTTGGGGGTAGTGTCTGTTGTCTCTTTCCTTATGAATTGTTGAATATTTCGTTTTATATTTTGTGCAATTCTGCATTATATCCTGGACATTTTAAACATTATGAGACTCTGGGTCCAGCTCAGGGGTGAGTCTAGGATTACATACACAACTTTATTTATTTATTTATTTATTTATTTTTATAATTTTATTTATTTTTGTCCCCCCAAAGCCCCAGCAGATAGTTGTATGTCACAGCTGCACTTCCTTCTAGTTGCTGTATGTGGGACGTGGCCTCAGCATGGCCGGAGAAGCGGTGCGTCGGTGCGCACCCGGGAGCCAAACCTGGGCCGCCAGCAGCGGAGCACGTGCACTTAACCGCTAAGCCACAGGGCCGGCCCACATACACAACTTTAGATCACTTTCTTGAGGTTCCTTTTCTCTGTCACCACCCTGACACATCCAGCTCCCAGGGGCCACTTCCTTTTCATGGTCTTCTGGTTAAAAATCTAAGGCCTCAGGTTCTGCTCTCTGCTACACATCTCATAGATACATCTACCTCTAGGTCCAAGTACCAGGAAGACAGTGAGAGAAGAAAGGCAATGGGGCTTTCCCCAACCTTTTGGCCCACAGTTCCACTGACCAGAGACAAGGGTTCTTCTCTCTCTGAGGTTTAGATGCCTGCTCAGCCACCACTGTCTTCACCACAGGAATGTGTGGATCTGCTAAACTGGTCTTACTTCAAATTCTGGTTTCCTTCCCAAATCTGCCTACTACCATTTCTTTTCAGGGTCCTCAGACAGCTGCTCCACGCATTCTCTCCAGGGTTTTTAGTTATACTTAGTAGGAGAGATAAGGTGGTGTGTGCTTACTCCATTTAAAGTGGAACGAGAACCAACCAAAAGTTATTTTATTTCCAATGATTACATCCCTAGAGGATACACTCTCAAACAGGAAATTTATGAGAGTATAAAGGAAGAATCCTGACTGGAAGCTGCATATTCCTCACTTTATCTGGTCACATTTTGCCTCAATTTTTTATTATTAAAATTTTAAACATACAGAAAAGCTTAAAGTTTAAAGGGTGACCAATGAAGATCTCTATATCCCCCGCAAAGATTCAACAACAGTTGACTATTTCTTTTACATTTTTATTTGAAAATATGCTGCAAATATCATTACTTTTCAAACTTGAAAACTTTTACATGCATCTCCTAAGAATAAAGGCATTGTCCTATATACCTCAATACCATTATCACTTATAAGAAGTTTAAACATACCACATTATCTACTACCCATTTCACCCTCATATTTCCCCAAGTGTCCCCCCAAATGTCTTTCATAGTTGTTTTAACTTTTCTGGATCAGAAGCCAATTAAGGATCACACCTTGCATTTGGTAATGTCTCTTGAATGTCTTAATCTAGAAGAGTCCACCTTTTGTTTTATTACACTGACTTTTTGAAAAATCCAGAACAGTTGTCTTGTAAAATGTCTGAAACTCTGGGTTTGTCTACTTCCTCACTGAGTAATTCAACTTGTTCCTCTATTCCCTATATTTCTTGCAAACAGGAAGATAAGTCTAGATAAGAGATTTAATTAGATTTTCATTGAACATTTTTGGCAAGAATACATCATGGATGATCATGTGTGCTTCATGCTGCATCTCATCAGGAGTCACATAATGTCAGGTTGTCCCACTAGTAGTGAAACTCAGTTTGACAGCCCGATCGCTCCATGATAAAGGCATACCTTTCCTTTGCAATTGGTATCTGTGATCTTTAGACACCAGGTAAATAATGATCCTTAATTTTTTTTCACCTAATGGGTTTTACCATCCATTGAATGTGCCTGATTTAGTTACATTAAGCATTGTAAATGATTATTTTTTTCTAAATCTATCATTCCATGTACAATTAAAAGATGGCATTCTTCAAATCAGTTTATAAAGAGCTTTCCTTTTTTCTCAATTTTTCATCAAGGATTTACTTTATTTTTACTTACCATGTTATAAGTAATTACAGTGATTATTCTTTTTGATGTTTAAATTGTCCTAAATTTGACTAGTCTGAGTGCCTTCAAGTTGGCTCTCATGTCCTTCTGACATTTTCCCCTTAGTCTCCAAGTGCTATCTTTTTTTTGTTTTGTTTCATAAAAAGGTCCTCCAGGCACAGCTTACACTCCAAATAGGGAATCAGCCATTTCTCCAAGGAGTCCTTCTTCCTTTTAGTGGGGAATGGCATTTAGAAACCAAAATCTGGGTCTAAGAAAGTATTTGCAATGAGTCTCTTTACTTGCTTCAGTTTACTCCACCTTCTGTAATACTATAATATGACTCTATTCAGTACGTGGAATTGTATCAAATTAAGAAATAATGAAGGAAAGGAAAAGGAAGAGAGACTCCATTTGGGAAAATTTTAACTTTCAAAACTAAATTCTAAATTAATAAAACCACATTTTTTAAATCATCAAAGACTTTTGGAAAAAATATATATATATTCAAAAACTGTGTGTATATATGTACACACCATACATATGTGCATGTGTACATATGTATATTTATATATATAATTGCTGGTAAGGCAGTTCATAAAAAGTGAGCTTAATAAAGAAAATTCATCTTAAAGGTTACTCTTAGAAAGAGAATAAAATCTAATGAAAGAAACAAAACTTACATTCCATTATTTTCATGTTTTTCTAAAAAAAGGCCTTTTACATTTTTTCTATGAATTTAGAAGTTTTTATATGTTTTTAGAAACCTTAGAATTTAATGGTTCTTATAAAATTTGGCAAGGCAGTGCTCTTCATATTTTCATTGATCAATTTCACCATTACTTAGTGGTAACTAGCATATTTTCTCCAGGAGAAATAAAAAAGACTTCTTCTATCAGGAGTCTGTGTGCTATTTATTATTCTCCTGATTCGTCTCCAATGAGAAGTCTTGAATTATTTGAGAGACGAATTAAACCTCACATGGCTTATCTCCTCTAAGAAATCTGTGATCCCATATTCCTTCCATTTATAGAGTTTTTCTTGATTGTGAACTTTTTTGTGTCTACAAAGATTTGATCTGTAACTGTAGGCTTTCCCGCACTCCATACATTTATAGAGTTTCTCTCCAGTATGGATTCTCTCATGTTCAGTCAGGAATGAATACTGGCTGAAAGCTTTTCCACACTGATTACACTGATAGGGTTTCTCTCCAGTGTGAATCCTCTGATGCCTATAAAGGTTGGATTTGCAGCCAAAGGCTTTCCCACATTCTCCACATGTATAAAGTTTTTCCCCAGTATGCATTTTCCGATGTTCATTAAAGGATGAATACTGGTTGAAGGTTTTCCCACATTCATTACATTGATAGGGTTTCTGTCCAGTATGAATTCGCTGATGTTCAAAAAGGGTTGAGATGCGTGTAAAAGTTCTCCCACATTCCAAGCATTTACACACCTGTTCTCCAGTATGAAGCCTCTGATGTTCAGCCAGGGATGTAAGCTGGCTGTAACCTTTCCCACATTCACTACATCTATAGGGTTTCTCACCTGTATGGATCCTTTGATGTCTATGAAGTTTCGCTCTACAATTGAAGGCCTTTTCACATTCACCACATTTATACAGCTTCTCTCCAGTATGAATTCTCTGATGTACAGTGAGGGTTGAACACTGGCTAAAGGCTTTACCACATTCCTTACATTGATAGGGTTTCTCCCCAGTATGCACTCTCAGATGTTTGATAAGGGTTGAACTGCTGCTAAATGCTTTCTCACATTCATTACATTTGTAAGGTTTCTCTCCAGTATGAATTCTCTGGTGGGCAAGAAGGGACGATCTATGGCTAAAGCTTTTCCCACACTCATTACATTTGTAGGGTTTCTCACCAGTATGAATTCTCTGGTGTTCAATAAGATGAAGACTCTGATTGAAGCTTTTCCCACATTCATTACAAATATGAGGTTTTTCTCTTGGATAAATTTGGAAGCATCTCATTAGATCAAAATCCTGTTTAAAATCTTTCCCAAAATTATAATATATATTAGGTATCCCTTCTACAGGAACACTCTGTTGTGTAACAAGAATTGTATTTATAAATAAGCCTTTCCCCAATTCAAGACTTGTATGGTTTCCATCTCCACTAATGGTTCTCTTGTTTGAGGCTACCATTTGCCTAAGAGGTTTCTTCTGTTGCTCCTGTTCTGTCCTGCTCTCAAATTCCAAAGCTTCTCCAAACTTTATGTCCCAATGACCAAACTTAATGGCCTTTTTATTCATTATTCCCTGAGATGTTTCTTCTATAAAAATGTCCTGTCTGGGAGGCAATGCTTCTATTTCAGGCCAAGTCTTGAAACCTGGAATGAATGAGAAGAATTAATGCCTCCTTTGCTGGAAGATGCAAACATGCATCAGTGGTTCAATAAAATTGGTAAAAATACATATAAAAGAGGTTTCAAACCATCTGGTCTCAAATATAGAGTTGAATCTGCAGAAAAACAAGATGGAATGGAAAGAGAGGTAAACAGGTTAAGGAGCCGTATGGGACAATACACTGGACAAATTAACACTGAAAATGAAGAGACTGCAACTTGAGAGAAGTAAAGGTAGACACAGAAGAACTGGCTGAGCAGGAGGTGTGAAGGTACCAAAAAATGTCAGCTGATAAGCTCAAGCTGAATACTATGGGACACCTCAGTTATCTGCATTTCCTACTCTGAATGCACTAGAAGCAGGTAACTTGTCTTTACTTTCTCCTTTCAACTCACATGTTGCTTTTATTACATTTTCCCCTATGTTCTCACTGAAACTCTATACACAATAATTTCTAAATATTTAAAATGTTTTTCTTAAATTCTGTGATTTTGTATGTGACTATGATTTCATATCCTAGTCTTTACAAGGGGAAACAGTGTGTTAAAAAGAGGAAGTTCATGTTTTAAAACTTACAGCAGCCCTGAAGCATGACTGTGTTGATGATATCCGATCTAAGTTCAAGATGCTAATTATAAAGAGGAAAATATGGAGCAAATCAGCCATGTGCCACAATCTACCCCTTGCAATGGGAGGAATAACAATTTTTTCATACCCTGCCACCACTTTTCCCCTTTCCATTTGATCGTGAGGAGAAACAGACACACGCATTTCTTCTAACAAGCTGCAACCAGAAGACTGACCTCTCTTTGTAGGAATCTTTTGAGACTAATGAAAGTCTACAAGAGACCTGAAGTCAATATGTCCTGAAGTCCTGAAATATACCCAAGCCCCAACTTTAGATCTGATGCTAAGTGAAATGATTTAGCTTGAGCAGATTCTAAGGAGCTCTGGGTTAAAACCTGGCTTTCTTTAATCAATCCATGACTGAAAATAGATTAAAATTAAATAATTGTATGTACTTAAATAAACTATATAACTTAAATAAAATATAACTGGATTATTTATGTTTACAAAAATCCATCTATTTTACTGAAATTAAATAATAAGAGGAACAAGAAACACAGGTTATAAATCTGTATAAAAATACAGATTTTTCTTAGTTAATATCTTTGGAAAACCTAGCAGTTTGGGCTTTCAAGGATTAACCAGGGTACCTTCTCTCTTTTTGTCCTTTCCTACAGTATGACCTTCCCCGGCCATCCAGAAATTCTACTCTGATCCCATTTCTCTTCAGAAAATTATTTAAGCCTCAATTGACCATATTTTTCTTAGAATTTCAAAACATATTTTACTTACACATTCTATCACCTTACCTTACATATACGTTTATGAAAATAATTCATTTGTTCAATGAGAACAGTGGATATGTCTTATGATTATTTGTTAATTCCTTATTGTGCACAACACAAGTACATAATCAGAATGTCTTAAGTAAAAAAATAATCAATGAATGGGCAGAATGAGTTAGTGGGAAAAATTATTATGAAGGGCAGGTGACCTGAAAAACGAAAAGATATTCTCTCCTCTCATACTGGACTCCTGAGACTCAATCAGTCATTTACTGAACAAACATTGAATAATCAGCAATGAGAATACGAAATAAATAAATGACCAAACAGTAATAGTTAATTTCTCCATGATGTGTACAGCCTCAACTGTATAATTCAGGCTTGAAGTTCAGAGAATGAAGATACCAATATCAACCATATTAGTGAAGAATGGTTTTATGAAGGAAGTTGGACAATAAAGATGATATGGATTTCAACAGAAAAAGAGGATTCTGTGAATCAGAAAGAAAGCCTGATCAAAGTCATCTGTGGGGAAGTACACATATCAGGGGAACCTTAACAGCTAAAGAAGGAAATCCAGGCTGGAATTAGTTAAAAATTTGGTTCAGCAGGGTGAGGCCAAACACAGAGTTCCTGAACAACTGGCAGAGGAATTTAGATAATAATGTAGATAATGGAAGGGGTTGTAAGTTCTCACGCAGATAATGGTAAGAAAAAAATGGTCATTTTTAGTGGGCAGCTTGGATCAGAAGAAGGACAGAATGGAATCTGAAAAACAACGAAGTTGCAATAGTCTAGCTGGATTGAGTACTTGATTGTGAGCCTCACCGCCACTGAGCTAATCATAGAGGCAATTAAATTAAATTAAAAAAAAAATTAACTAACTGCAATGTATTAGATGCCAGAGGCACAGAATTCAAGGACCTGGTCTCTCCCTTAAATATACATGATCAATTAGGAAAATAAATAACAACAAAATAACTATAATTCTTTATGATGGACACTGTAATGGATATGTTCCAAGGTATGTAGAAAGTGCTATATCAATGCAAATGATTGAAAAATTAATGCTGATTGGGAAGTAGGAAAAATAAGGAGAAACCTAAATATTAGGGGTGGCATTTTAGGCAGACAGATGGATCTTGAAGGATAAGTAGTTTTCCAGTGGACAAGATGGAAGAGGTAATTCAAGCTGAAGGAACAACATACAAATGTTAATGAGTATGCAGCTTTGCCCAGAACATGGAGTTGATGTGGAAGTGGCCACTGATGAGACTGAAAAGGAATATGGAGACAGGCTATGAAGTAGGTTTAATGTTACATTAACAAATTTTACTTTACTCCGTGGATAATGGGGAAACAATGACCTCTCTTGAGGTATAGGATAAACACCTGAGTTTCAGATGGATCACTCTGCTGGTGGCAAGGAAGGTGGGAGAGGAAAACAAGGCCCAGAGAGGGTAGATAACGTTCCCACAGCTCATTAGACTTGTAAGTAGTGGTAGGGGTACACCAAAATTAGGAACGTCTAATGCAAACCACGATCTTCAACACTCTACTGCACTGCCTACTAACTCTGTATTCAGAGAAAATTGTATATTAATAAAGATGAAAAGTATCTTTAGAAAGAATGAGCGAAAAAAAGACGTCAATGAAGGCAAAAGTCCTAGATTAAAGGTCAAACCAAAGATAAAAGCAAACTATTGGCATATCTCTGTCACGTGGTGAATAGAAACGACATTGGTGATCTAAGTTTCTGTCACTGCATTTCAGCTTTCTAGTTCTGTGATCAAAGTATGTAAAAATCTCTGATGCTCTGTGTCTTCAGATATAAAAAGAGGTATCTAAATTCGATCACCTTTAAGTGATCCTCCAGCTCCAACAACCTACAGTTTTATGATAAAGACCAACTAGATTAGAATAGGCTAGAAGAGTAGTGAGCAAACTACGGGTCTCTAGACCAAATCCAGCTGCCATCTGCTTTTGTAAAGTTCTATGAGAAAACAGCCACACCTGTATTTTTAAGTATTGTCTCTGGCTGCTTTTGCACTACAATAGCAGAGTTAAATGGTTACAATAGAGACCATATGGCCCCAAAGCCAAAATATTTGCTATCTGGCCTTTTATAGAAAAAGTGTGTGGACCCCTCAACTAGAAGGGCTACAGTGGTGATGTTAATGAGAGCTGGTTGAATATAACAGTGGGAGAAGATCGCCCAGTCTCCAAGGAGATAAAAGGGAAATGTGAGTTCAGAAGTCAGAGACAAAGGAGAGTTGATAACACTTTGAAATATGTGGTTGGTGAAAGAAATGAAAAAAAAATTATAAAGAATTCAAAATATGGCAGCAGAAGGTGGAAAGTAGTTGAAATCTGTCAGACATGAACATATGTGAACACAGGTGGAAAGAAAACCATGAAGAGCAAGAGGTCAAAGATGGTAGAAGTGAGTGAGGCTGCAAAAAGAGGAGAGGGATGGAGAATGCAGGTAGCAGTATGAGAAGACAGACATGAAGACAAGGACCTTCTCGATGCAGAGGAAACCATTACAACCAAGGGGGCTTCTGTCTGGTGGCCCTGAGCATTTCAAGAGGGCTCGGAATTTCCAGGAAAGTTTCCAGAGCACTGCCTCTTCACGGCCTGCTCATGTATAAAGACACCCTGTGCCCATTTCCCAGTCACTCACTCACCTAGGCAGGTGTCTTGAGGGATTTCTCTTTCCACCGTGCAGGGATCTTCTCCTTGTTGCAGCTGGCAGATCACCTTTGGCATTGAAAATGGAATCCCTGCTCGTGAGAAAGGAAATGGAGTTAGAATAAATGGTAGGAAGAGAAATCCCAGAATTCACAAACCAGAACCTACAGGGCAGAGAAGGCAAGCCTTGGGAGGCAGAGTAGGCAGCACAAGCACATCTGATGGGACTGGGGCTTTCAGGGGATGGATCAGGAGGTGGGTTTCGATTCAGAAACAATATAGGGCCCTGGCTATGCTGCCTCTAAGATTAGGAGCTCTATATGTTTTCCAGAATCTAAACCGGGATCTAGTCATTGGAGTAGAAGGAAACTTTGATTGGGAGGTGGCATGGGAGGAAGGCACAGGAAGGAGAAAAGAAGAGCATGAAGGGCATCACACAAAAACGTACACTTCCATCTCTACAGAGATTCATCTTTTCCTGAGGCACAGTGGGGTAGAAACCTGCACACTATGAACCCCAAAGAGGGACCTCTTAAGGTGTTCCCACAGCAGATTCTTCTTTACAGGCAAACCTCCTTACCCAGCGAGACCAGGGTGCTATAGTTCTCCAGCATCACCTCCCGGTACAAGGTTCTCTGCACAGAGTCCAGGCGCAGCCACTCGTCCTGGCTGAAGAACACAGCCACATCCCTGAATGTCACTGACTCCTGTAACGCAAACCCATTCCTGTTCACCCAGGACCATCTTCGCCACTGGAAGACTCGGTAAGAAGGTGACATTAAGATGTGTAGCAATCAATTCTGAAAATGTCTCAGGATTCTAAGTATTTCAAATCAACTATTTATGTCATTTTTGGAATCACCCATTAACTATTAAACAAATATTTATTGAGTACCCACTGGAAGCAAAGATACATGTCACCTGTAAAGATACATTTACCTCCTCCCTCCCACTCAAAATCCAAATTAAATGGAAGGGAAAAAATCAGAATACATTTAGAGCAATGCTGGAAAACTGGGGAAAATACCATCAGCAGAACAGAAACATAAGGGAATTTCTGACACATAATAAAACTAATATTAGTTCACATTTACTGAATACTTAGGGACTATGAAAGGAACTTTGTATATAGTCTCTAAATTTCAGAGGTAGATACTACGATTAAATGATTTTCCAGACGGAGAAACAGTTCAGAAAGGTTAAGTAACCTTCCCAAGGTAATACTGTTAGAAAGTGGCGGAGCTCGGATCTGAATACAGGGAGACAGATCTCTAAGCTATATTGTCAGATGGGTTTCCACTGACTATGAAAATTAAAAAAAACCAAAGGACTGTACAAGACACTACAGGTGCAAGAACGAACTAAGTTGAGAAAGTAAGTTTCTTCCAAGAGAAACCCAATTAAACCCAAAAATGTGAGAAAGCAGAGGTTGGGAAGATAGCAATTCTTGTAAGAAAGAGGTGAAGGGAGTAAAACATGGCACAATGCTTTTGGTGGGTATTTTGTTGAGAATCCATCAGAATGTAATAGGTACATCATCTTGACCTTGCAATTCTACTTCTAGGATTCCACTACAAGAAATAATCACACAACTGGGTACGGATATTTGAACAAGGATGTTCACTGAAATGTTACTTATAAGTTAATGACTGTGGTAGGCTAAATAATGAACCTGTGAATGTGACATATATGTCAAAAGGGACTTTGAAGATCTGTTTAAATCAAGAATTTTGAGATGGGGAGATTATTCTGAATTATTATCCCGGTGGATCCGAAGTAATCACAACAGTCCTTATGAGAAGGGCCCAAGAAGAGTAAGAGTCAGAAGGGGAGAAGGCGATGTGATGACGGAGGCAGAGACTGAAGTGATGTGCTTTCAAGATGGACGAAAGGGCCACAAGCCAAGAAAACAGGCAGCCACCAGAAGGTGAAAACAAGGCCAAGAAACAGATTTTCCCTCAGAGCCTCCAGAAAGAAACAGCCTTGCTGAGAGCTTGACCTTAAGCTAGTGAAACTGATTTCAGACTTCTGATCTGAATAAATTTATGTTATTTTAAGCCACTGAGTTTGTGGTAATTTGTTACAGCAGCAACAGGAAATGAATACAATGGTAAAAAAACTGAAGACAACCTACATATCTAGCAATAAGAGAATGGATAAGCAAATTATAGTGCATTTATTCCATGAAATGTTATACAGCCATTATAATGAGGTAGATCTGTATGCCTGACACCGGAATTTGGCCTTGACATACTGTTGATTCACATGAAAAAGCAAGCTGCAAACAATCTACTCTTTATCTGTATGTACTTATGTGCATACAAAAATATCTGGAAGAACACAACAAGCTGTCCACGCTGAATATTCTTTGACATCTGTGGAGAGAGGCAGGAAAGCAATCTCTCACTTATTTGTTTATACTCTTCTGTTAGGCTTACATTTGTGTGTGTGTGTGTGTGTGTTTTGAATTTTTTTAGATTCCATTTTAATCTTTATATTGACTTTTTAGCTATATCTCTGCATTTTTAGTGGTCATTCTGAGAATGATAATATACATTCTTAGTTATTTATAGTCTATTTAGAGCTACTATATGATTTCACATAGAATGAAGAACCTTGCAAGTATATGGGACCACCACCACCCCTTCTTCATGCTATAGTTGTTTTATTTTTTTTTATTTTCCTATATAAATTTTATTTATTTTTTTAATTTTTCGTTTCTTGCAGTAACATTGGTTTATAATATTGTATAAATTTCAGGTGTACATCAATATACTTCTATTTCTGCATGGATTACATCATGTTTCCATGTTCACCACCCAAATACTAATTACAATCCATCACCACACACATGTGCCTAATTATCCCCTTCACCCACCTCCCTCCCCCCTTCCCCTCTGGTAATCACCAATTCAATCTCTGTCTCTATGTGTGTGTTTGTTGTTGTTATTATCTACTACTTAATGAGTGAGATCATACAGTATTTGACCTTCTCCCTCTGACTTATTTCACTTTGCATAATACCCTCAATGTCCATCCATGTTGTCACAAATGGCTGGATTTCATCGTTTCTTATGGCTGAGTAGTATTCCGTTGTGTATATATACCACATCTTCTTCATCCATTCGTCCCTTGATGGGCACTTAGGTTGCCTCCAAGTCTTGGCTATTGTGAATAACCCTGCAATGAACACAGGGGTGCATGTATCTTTACGCATCGGTGTTTTCAAGTTCTTTGAATAAATACCCAGCAGTGGAATACCTGGATCGTATGGTAGTTCTATCCTTAATTTTTTGAGGAATCTCCATACTGTTTTCCATAGTGGCTGCACTAGTTTGCACTCCCACCTTGCTATAGTTGTTTTAAAGACTTTTCCAGTTCAGATAGTTGACAGGACTCAACATACCACACTGAGCACACTCATGGAAGGCAAAGGGTACAGTACAGTAGATAAAGAGAGTGCAAGAGCCATTCCATGTACAATCTCTCTTATTTGTACACAGAGACTATGCTGTGTCTCTGGATCTATATGAGGAATCTTGGTTTTGAGAAAGCTCAAAGGAGAAACTCTCAGCAGGGACCTTTTGTGTATCAAGCAAGGCTTGGCAAACCATCTAGGCCAGTTGCAAACTATCAGTAAAGACAACAACCCTGGGGATGGCCAGTGGCATTTAGATTTTGAATAGCACATCCACCGCCCTTATCTTGGCCACGAGTCAAAAAACAGCCATCCAGGCATCCCCAGACAAAGACAGAGCTTTTCCAGTCCAGACATAAATGAATTCTATATCCACAGTTGTCATATGCATTACATCCACCTACATATAAAAGCCATAATATTGTATTTTCGCTTTAAACAACCATATGCATTTTAAAGAAATCAAGAGGAAGAAGTATTTTATATTTATCCAAATAGCCACCATTTCTAATGCTCTTCATTTCCTTCCTAAGATTAGAGTTCCCATTTGGCATTATTTCCTTTTAGCTTGAAGAACTTCCTTTAGGCTATCTTGTAGTGCAGGCCTGCTGATGATAAACTAGCTTCATTTTCTTTTATCTGAAAATGTCTTTATTTCACCTTTATTCTTGAAGAATACTTTCATTGGCTATAGAATTCTGGATTGAGTTTTTTTTCTTGCAGCATGTCATTCTACTGTTTTCTGGCCATTGTTGTTTCTGAGGAGAAGCCAACAGACATTGAAATATTGATTCTCTTTTTTCTATCTGCTTTCAAATCTTTGGCTTTCAGTGATTTGTCTATGACTTTTCTGCCCAATATGGTAGGCACTAGAAAAAAATTGCTATTGAGTACTTGAAATGTGGCTAATCTAAATTGTGATGTGCTATTATGTGTAAAATACATTCCAAATGATTTACTAGAAAACACATATATACACATATACACACGATACCTCAATAATTTTATATTAATTATATGTTGAAATAATATTTTGGATATACTGGGTTAAATAAAATATATTATTATAGTTAATTTATCTGCTTCTGTTTATTTTTTAATGTGACTACCAGAAGGTTAAATTACACATGTGGTTTCTACTCATAGTTTACATTATACTTCTATTGCACAGCACTGGTCAATGATGTGCCTACCTGTGGTTTTCTTTGTATTTATTCTGCTTGAGGTTCAGTGTCATGAATCTGTAAATATGTTTTTTACCAAATTTGAGAAAATTATGGCCATTATTTCCTTTCGATATATTTTTTGCCCCATTTGCTCTCTCCTCTCCTTCTTGAACTCCAATTACATGTATATTAGACCTTTAACATTATTTTACAGGTAACTGAAGCTCTTTTCATCCCTGTTCTCCAGATGGGACAATTTCCACTGATCTACCTACAAGTCTCAGTGACATTTCCTTATGTTCATTTCTAAAAGTCAAGCCTATGCAGTGATTTTTTTTTAAGTTTTCAGATATTTTGTTCTTCAGTTCCAGAATTTCTATTACTTTTTCACAGTCTCTGTTTCTCTGCTTGGATTACCTATTCGTTCGTTCATTACAGGCATATTTTCCTTTAAGTCCTTGCACATATTTATAATAGTGGTTTTAAAGTCTGCCTGCTAATTCCAGCATCTGGGTCACCTTGAGATTAGTCTCTATTGATTGCCTTCTTTTGACTATTGGTCACATTTTCCTGTTTTTTCATATGTCTACCTTATCCTGGACATTGTGTAGTATATAATGTAGACTTGGGATTTTGTTTTATGTTTCTTTAAAGAGTACTGATTTTTTTTAAGTAGGTAGTTAATTTGGCTGTACTCAAATTTCAAACTCTGTCATCTCTGTAGTAGGCAGCAGCAAAAATCTCTGTTCAGTTCTTAGTTGGGCTACTTTGAGTCTGTCCTGTGCATGTGTGGTTCAAGGGTCAGCCAGAGATTTGGGCAGAGTTTATGCACAGAATTTGGGGCTCTCCCTCTCTGGCTCTCTCCTTTCCAAGGTGCTTTCCAGATGCTAAGGTTGCCCTAAACTCTGTCTTGTGATTCTTCACGCTAGTAAGACTCCAGACTTCTAACCAAGTTTTAACCATTCTGTTGGTGCTCACAGTGGCCTGTCCCTAGGCAAAATGCTATAAAAACTGCACTATTTACACTGTGACAGTCCCTTCTTCCAAATGTAGACAGTTGTCCAGTATCTGTCTTATTTGGTTTCTCTCCAGAGCCTTCAGTGGTTGTCTCATATATTTTGTC